GAGATGCCCGTTCAGAAGCCTCCAGGAAGGGGACGTCCTCCAAAGCCAAAACTGCAGTTTCGTGTCCACTTCAGACATCACACGGATCCGAAAGAAGACTGCTGGTTTATTCGGGAGGAATTGATGCAGACCGCTCCTCAAATCGTTGCCCGCTATGAGAAGGATGTATTGAAAGGAAAGCGCCAGATGGCTCAGGATTGATCTTCCCAGAGGACTGACGAAGATATGGAGGAGGGAATGCGAGGCTACGCCCGCTTAGCCCCTACGGGGCCCTATTTGCAGCAAGGTCAGCCACCCTAAGTGAAGGCAGGCACGACAGGCCCTTCAGGCCTCGTTTTTCAGGGTACCCCGCATTGGGGAAAATTCAGGCAGTTGCGCAGCGCCAGTTGGTTGAATGAACCCAGGCCCTGGGCCGCCTGTGTGAATGTACGAAGAACAGGCCCTGGGCTGGATTCAGGTACCGGGCCGAACACAGGCCGAAAGCAGTTGGGCGCACGCAACCACTTCAGGCCCAAGGCCTGCTTTCCTCGTGACTGGGCCTCAGGCTACCGGGGCCTACTGGAAGCTTCCTGGACTGGACGCAGGCAGGCCACTTCGATATAGGGAAGGGCCTGCCTCTCATTCGGCATTCGGGTGCTGGCTGCATGCTGCGCGAGCGCTGGTGCGCTATCTGCTGGCTGGCTGGCACTCACGCTCTCACGGGCGAGTAGGGAGGGAGCACGCAGCCATAGCCAAGCTGCGCTGCTGTATGCTGGGTGAAGCGCAAGGTGGTCCTTGGGTGCTAGTGGCATCTGTGTGGTGTGGATCGGGGTTGTGAGTGTAGCGCAAGACATACCTGGTGCTGAAGCGGGCGACATTGGTCGCCATATGCTCGTACTTCGGGAACGCTGTTGATGTCATCATTCTGCTTCGTAGTATAGGCTAGATAGGATCTGCCACATGTAGTCTGGGTGCCGAGCGCCAATAGGATATCAACTCTGGTTCTTCGTTGATGATGATGGGACTACTTCAGCATTGTCAATTTTGAACTCTTGGTGTGTTCTTATTTGGTGTATCTCGTGATGCAATTCTGCTGTGGTTCGAGGTCAAGGCTATCTGGACTCATATGTATGATGCTGTATGATTGCTGAAGTTCGCTAATGCTCATCTTCCTTGCACTCTCATGCACCCCACACCCACACCCATAAGCCCACGCGCGCACACACACACACACACACACACACACACACACACACACACACACACACACACACACACACACACACACACTCTGGGCGATGTAGCGAGGCCTTATCAGTCGGTCAGTCAAATGCATCCAGGCCAGACTGTCAGGATTCAACCTCCTGACAATTCAGTGAAGGTCCGATGAAACAGTCTGGCACGTTCATGCCTTTGTTGTTGAGTTGTGTATAGCGAACATGACAACACACACACACACACAACACACACACACACACACAGTTATTCTGTGTATGTGTGTGCCTTTCCTCATGACTCCCATCGGGACCTATGTTCCTTTGTGAAGGAACATCATGGATCGACATGCTCAGTCCCCATTTATTTATTATATATTTTATTATCAGTCAAGGATTTGAATAGGGCTCAAGGACAGAAATAGCCCGTTGAGTTTTGAACGGACGAACTCGCCCTGTCGGAATGTACCTCAGCATCTCAACGCACAGGCGCAGACCATGCACTTGGGGGATTTTCATTTTATTTTGCAAAGCACATTCCTTGCTTGATCGATTTGGTGTTTCCGACCCTGAGCAATGTGTTTTTTCTTTTTTTTTTTTGCACTTGAGGGATTTGTAAAACAGCTCGGCGCATTTGTTGCGCAATGGATTCGGTGTTTCCATCCCCCTTTCTTTTTTTGTTTTTTGGTAAGCGGCCTTTCCACTAGCCGGGGTGGTACAAGCACTCCCCCCCAGTCGCGAGGTCGAGTGCTCCAGTCTATTGGTGGGAAGCATCACCTGCTGGAAACGGGGTCCAGCGTCCCAAGATACAAACTTTCAGAGTCAACCCTGACTTCCGGGGCCATTACCCAGCTTCGGCTTTTGTGCTAAGCATAAAGCAGTGTGGATGTAAAGATAGGGAGGAGGGAGTGCCTCTTCGGCCCACTATCGGGGGCCAGGTCGCGATCGCTTTCTAACCTAGCATAGCCCCTACCCCTGGTAGCAAGAATCAGCAGAGAACCGCTCATCTCCCTGAGCATTGACTACCAGACTCTCTCATTTCTTCCAGCTTCTGAACCACACCAACTCAACCTGTGTACCACTGCATTTCCACTTTCAAGGGTGGAGGGGGAGAGGGGGGCAGGTGGGGAGAAGGGAAGGGGGGGGGGGGAAGGGGTCGGGGAAGTCTGTAGCCGAAACCGCGAGGGTTGAGGCCTCAATCTTGGTCCACTTATGATAGTCCCTTTGTTGATGTTTACAGTTTTAGTGGATTCAATCATCTTAGACCTTCAGAACCTCAACTTCATTCATATAATACTTTTATTTTATCTGAGTTTCATCACATTCATTTCATTTGTTAATCGTTGGCTTACCTTTTTCTTCGCTTATGTTCTTCTTTCGTCCAAGATGACCGTGGTTTTGGTGGATGCATCAAACTGAAGCGCTCCTCGCTAATCGGGCGCAGAACTTCCATTTCTTCTTCCATCACCGGTACCACGTCCATTTCCGGCATCCAGCTCCCAGAAAGAAACTGGCAACAATGGAACGGAAAACGCCAAGCCAAATAAATAAACACGAATGAAAGGAAAGTGTGAACCTAATCTGCCCGTAGGAAAGTATGAACCAAAATATGCCCGTAAGCGCATTCATTAAAGAGTTTGCAGTTTGCAGAGACCCACAGTGCGCAGGGAATCAGAATGCCCGGCCCGCAATGCCCGGGGAATTACTGGTAGAAGGCAGTGGCCCGAGCATGCCAACGCACATACGACTTCCTCGATGCGACTTGTTGTGTTCCCTCCTCCTCCACTTCTCTGATCGCTCGCTGATCGAAATATCAGCCTCCTGATGAGTAGGGAGGTGAAACTCTGACGAAACAGTTTGTCACCGCCCCTCTTTTGTTGTCCTCTTATCCCTCTCTGCCTACGGTTTACCGGGCAGCTCTGTTTGACGATATATACACGTATATAGTATGTACTGATAGATAGAATCATAGAATGACTGATAACATAATTATCAGAAATTGAAACTCAGTCTTATGTCCATAGTCGTAGGGCCGCGGTGGGTCTTTTAGCCGAGTGCCAATACGACCAGGACCACTGGTCCACTCCGCCATGGCAGTCCCATCATTAGCACGTAGGTAGCTTCTATAGCTCTACTTCATCAAGGTTGTTTTCTCAGAATCCAAATGTCACTACTTTCACTCTTCACTACTTTTTGTTTTTTTCATGTAAGTTACTCCACTGTAGATAACAATGGCTCTGTTTTGGGGCTCCCACCAGTTTTCTACATAGGCTTTTATTCAGCCTAGAGAGCAGATAGCTAATTTTAGAAAGAACTGT